AAGAGCAACTAGTTATTTATTTAAACCATATCAAATGAAATTAAAAGGATGGTATTCAGGGAAGCTTAGCTTTAAGGAATCAAGCCAAAAGTTTAATTTGAAGAGTCTTCTTAGTATGCTGTTGTATCTGATGATTCCACCAGGAGAATATGAGATCAGGTTTTCCTTGATTAACTGTTTTAAGGTGGAAAACAGGAAGTACACTGGGAATTTAGCATTTGCTCTCTCGGCATGTTACACAGGAGAAAACCATTCGGACTTGTTGGAAATAGGGTAAGAGAAATGATTAATTATTGTGGATTTGATGATAATTTTTCAATGGAGACCGCTCATTCCCACCAGGAACACCAAAGGAGGTCATTCCAAGGGACCATCAAGCCCTGACCTCACCAAAAATTTACCACAGAACCTTTGCGATGTTGCCTCAGGCTTTCCTAGAAAGGGAGCTGATTTGGGGCAGGTTCCAAAAGAGCTGTTGGATTCAATTTGATTAGAGTGTCAGAATGGTTCAATCTCCAGAGCATTCCTGGGGTAAGGAATTAGGCATAGAAGCTGGAACTTGTAAGGTGTGTCCATGAACGCTAATAATACAGTGAAAATACAACCCATAGAATGGAAGGAAATATTTGCAAATCATATATCCGATAAGGGTCTAATATCCAGAATATACAAAGAACTGTTATGAGAAAACATACAACCCAATTAAAAAATGGGCAAAGGACTTGAGTAGACATTTCTCCAAAGAAGATAAACAAATGGCCAAAAAGCACATGAAAAGAGGCTTAATACCATTAGTCATTAAGAATATGTGGATCGAAACCATTTCAAACCCACTAGGATGGCTATTATAAAATAAAATAAACTATAACAAGGGTTGGCGAGCATATGGAGAAACTAGAACCCTCCTACACTAATGGTGGGAATGTAAAATAGTGCAGCCTCTGTGGCAAACCATTTGGTGGTTCCTCCAAAGTTTAAAACATAGAGTTACCATGTGACCCTAGTTATATACCCAAGAGAATTAAAAACAAGTGTTCAAACCAAAAATTTGTACACATAAGACTGCAGTCCCCAACCCCCAGGCTGTGGACCAGTACTAGTCTGTGGTCTGTTAGAAACCAGGCTGCACAGGCCTCTGCCTCTGCCTTCCCCCCTCCTCAGTCTGTAGAAAAACTGTCTTCTGTGAAACGTAGGAACCGGGCCACACAGCAGGAAGTAAGCAGCAGGCAAGTGAGCGAAGCTTCATCTGTATTTACAGCCACTCCCCATCGCTCACATCACTGTCTGAGCTCCACTCCCACCCCAGCTCCGCCTTGGTCTGTGGAAAAATTGTCTTCCATGAAACTGGTCCCTGGTGCCAAAAAGGTTGGGGATCGCTGACCTAATAGAAGCACTATCATAATAGCCAAAGTAGAAACAAGCAAAACATCCTCAGTTGATGAATGGATAAACAAAATGTGGTTTATCCATATAGCCATAAAAAGGAATGACATACTGATACATGCTGCAACATGAATGAACCTTGAAAACATTATCCTAAGCAAAAGTAGCCAGACACAAAAGATTATATATTGTATGATACATTTATATGAAATATCCAGGATAAGAAAATCAATAGAGACAGAAAGCTGATTAGTGGTTTCCAAGGGCTGAGGGTAAAGAGAAATGGGGAATGATTAATAAGCATGGAGTCTCCATTTGGGGTGATAAAAAATTTCTAGAACTATAGTAACCAAAACAGCATGGTTATTGGCACAAAAATAGAGACATAGACCAATGGAATAGAACAGAAAACCCAGACATAAAACCATCCACATACAGCCAACTGATCTTTGACAAAACAGACAACAATATACACTGGGGAAAAGAATCCCTATTCAATAAATGGTGCTGGGACAACTGGATAGCCACATACAGAAGAATGAAACAGGATCTGTATCTCTCACCACTCACAAATTTATTCAAAATGGATAAAAGATTTAAATGTAAGGCATGAAACCATAAGAATTCTAGAAGTTAATACTGGAAAAATACTTCTAGATATTGGCCTAGGCAAAGAATTTATGAAGAAGACCTCAATGACAATCACGGCAACAACAAAAATAAATAAATGGGACTTGATTAAATTAAAAAGCTTCTGTACAGCCAAGGGAAATAATCAATAGAGCAAATAGACAAGAGTGGGGGAAAATATTTGCAAGCTATACATCCAATAAAGGGCTATTAATAATAACCAGAATCTACAAAGAACTCAAGAAAATCAGCAAGAAAAAAAAAAAATCAAACAACCCATTAAAAAGTGGGCAAAAAACATGAACAGAAGCTTTTCAAAAGAAGATAGACAAATGACCAACAAACATGACAAAATGCTCAACGTCACTAACCATCAGGGAAATGCAAATTAAAACCACAATGAGATATTGCCTTACCCCTGTTAGAATGGCTTTTATTAAAAAGTCCAAAAACAATAGATGCTAGGGTGGATACAGAGAGAAAGGAACGCTTATACACTATTGGTGGGACTGCAAATTAGTACAACTTCTATGAAAAACAGTGTGGAGATTCCTCAAAGAACTAAAAGTAGACCTATCATTCAACCCAGAAATCCCACTGCTAGGTATCTACCCAAAGGAAAAGAAGTCATTTTATCAAAAAGACACCTGCACCTGAATGTTTATTGCAGCACAGTTCACAATTGCAAGGATGTGGAATCAACCCAAATGCCCATCAGTTCATAAGTGGATTAATAAAATGTGGTATATATGTGTATGTGTGTGTGTGTATATATATATATACATACACACACACACATACCGCAAAGTACTACTTAGTCATCAAGGATGACTTAATGCCTTTTTCAACAATATGGGTAGAACTGGAGACCATTCTCCTAAGTGATGTGTCTCAAGAATGGAAAACAAACACCGCATGTACTCACTATTAAATTGGAACTAACCGATGAGCACACATGTGTATAGAGGGAAGTATAACTCAATGGAAATCAAATGGGGGGAGGGAGAAAGAGGGGATTGGTGAAAACCTACCTAATAGATACAGTGAACACTGTCTGGGTGATGGGCACACTTATAACCCTAATTCAAGCATTACAAAAGCCAATCCATGTAACCAAAAACATTTGTACCCGCATAATACTTTGAAATATATTTTTTTTAAATTTCTAGAGCTAAATAGTGGTGATGACATTGTGAATGTACTTAACACCAATAAACTATATGCTTTAAAATGGGTAAAATGGTAAATGTTATGTGTATTTTACCACAATAAAAAGAAGTTCCCAAACTATATTAACCTCATAGAAACCCTGGTAATGAAATACCTTTGACAAATAAACTTAGGATTACTGAGGGAACAGATATATTTCAAGCACAGCCTTTGGTATTGGGGAAAGCTTCTCGAAGAGAAAATGTGCATGACTGAGGATCAGGCATGCCGTGTTCTGGGTCCAGGCTCCACTGTTAGGTGGCCTTGGGCAAGTCATGTAAACTTTCTGGGCCTACGGTGGGAGACATGGGTAAATCCCCTAATTCTGGGTAGGAGAAGGTCCCGATCAGCTTTTCAAGCTTCACCTATCTTCCTTCACTCTGGGTCCTTACCCAGTGTGAAGGGTAGCGTTTCAAAGGGAATGCTCTTCCCCAGGAAGAGGAGATGGGGTGGCATGTGCAGGGGGATGGGAGACGCGGTGGATTGCTCTTTGGTGGAGCCTTTGCAACAAGTGAAAGTCCTAGAGCTGATTGTGCTAGGCCTTGGTTTCATCAGAACTGCAGGAATAAATTCATTCATTTCTTCATACTCTGACCACTGTCAAATATTTATTGCACACACTCCGTACTGTGTGAAGCACAGTGCCGTAGGACAGAAAGCTCCTGAATTTATGGAGTGCGTGTTCCAGAGGGAGGGGATAGTACTGGAGAGCTCCTCGCTGATTGACAGTTGTGACGAGGGCTGTGAAGAAGCGGGTGCTGTCATGGGGAGTGCTCCAGGGTCAGGGAGGGCTGCTCTGAGGGAGCCGTGGTGGAGCTGCTGCCTGAAGGATGACTTGGGATTAACTAGGAAAACTGGGAGAGGTGCAGACAGCATTCCTGGAGGAGAGAGAACAGCGAGGAAGAAAGGAAAGTGGGCTTGGAGAAGAGATTGTGAAGAAAGCCTCATTCTAGCATGTCACACCGAGTGTGGTGAACATCCTTGAATTATAGGACCAAGAGAAATGATCTCCCTAAGACCACAGATAGGCACTTCCACCAGCATACGCTGTGCCTGTCCCCACAGAGCCACGTCCTATGCTCCGAATATGTAACTAGCAGTATCTTTGGAACTTAAAATGGTCCCCAGAGTCAGTTGTGACCTGAAGCCACCACACCCCAGAGCCCCTTCATATCTCCATAGCACAGGGCAGTGTGAGTGACAGAACAAGTGGCTCTGGGGTGTGACACCCCGTGTGCCATGCCGGCGGCCAGAGGATGTTGCTGCTTTGGTTTTTCAGTTTTTGCCCCATCAAACCAGTGTATCTAGGCTTTGAGGACTGTGGAACTACCAGACTTTTACTTAAGCTCTAGCAGCCATTGTGCCCGTCAGGCCCACGGCCCATATTGGGTGGATAAACTGGATCCACTTTCACAGCCAAGGCCATGGTGTCCACACTTGGGTGGAGCCCAAGGTGGACAAAGCTCATAACTGCAGCTCATGTTCTGTGCTCCTAGGAGTCTGCCCTGCTTAAAGGCACTGTGGTTGGAGGTCCAGAGCTGAGCCTCTGGGGTGGGTGTGTTGGCACTCCAGGCTGGGGCAGGGCGACAACAGTAGCCACAACGGGAGCCAGCCATTAAGGAAAGGATTTGGTCAGCAAGTCCCAATTTAGATACTCCCTCTGTCCAACACTCTGTTAAAGTCTTTTTCCCACTAATTTGGAAGCTTGCATGTCACCTCTTTGTGACCATGAATCTAGTCCCTCAGGCTTAATTTTCTTTTTTTTCCTTTGCTTTCAGGAGAATAGATCTGGAGAAAGCAACAGCTGTGTTGAAGAAATAATTCGGGTAAGATGATTCTTTGAATCTTATCAGCTTGTTGGACATAGATTCCAAACAGAAAGGAAACATGTGGCTACCTGATCAAAGGGAGCCCATCATTTATTGCTTGACACTTACCTTTTTTGAGGGTAAGTTGATGAAATGACACCTGTGAGTAACACCTGTTCTAGAAATCTAGGCACCTGTCTGGGTGCCTTTGCACAGGCTGAGCTGATGCTGTATGAAGGGATCAGATGGACACCAGAAGAACAGAATTTAGATGAAAAATATGACGGTGCTCACGTTTGGATGCCCCGTTTATCACCCTGCTGTCTAAGAGCATCCTTGAAGAGTCTGTACTTTTTGAGCCAGGCAGGGGTTGCCCTGTTATTTTTCTTCTAAACTTAATTAGAAGCAGGAGCACCTGACAGAGAGGTAATGCTCAGAGTCTGAAAATTTATTTCTGTGTTGTTTTACTTGTTGTTATTTTCCCCGTTGCTCCCTGAGCACCTGTCCTTTTCATCCCTGCCACGCCCAGCGTGGATCCTTCCACAGACCAGTTTCACGTGCGGTCTGACTGCGCTTGGGCCGTTCCGCCATGTCAGTGCTTTCCTGAGTAGGGTGTTGTCATCAACCTGTATTTTTTTCTTCAGTCTGATTTTTTCAGAGTAATAACCTAATAATTTACTCAAGTTCTCAAAAAGCTGATATTACCCTGGGCAAAGCACCAAGAAAAATTAGGCCAGATGGTATGGAATTTCACAGTTAAAAAAAAAAACACAACTTTTATTTTAATATGGTCCTAACTTTTGGACACTTTTTCTTGAATTGCTGGTGAATTATAGCAATATAATTACTTGGTTTAAAATTTTACATTAACTGTTTTCAAAAGCAGGATTTTTTTTCTTTCTGGAAGGCATTATTTTATAAATAACTCTCAAATTGACCAGAATAAGTCACTGAAGTTTGATTTGTTGAATTCATAATGATTTTTTTTTTCTGACAGAGATCTACATAGAAAATAATTGTCAAAGCAGGTAGCTTCATTTCTGACATTTAAATATATGTTAAGTAAGATACATATTGTATTTTATATCTATATTATCTCTATTCTGGGGCTTTGTTTCAGCTTAAACAAGTAGTGTAAGATGCTGCTATAACTTTTCCTATTTTTCTCTTTCAACATACTTTTATGTTTGGAGTCCAAATATTCCATTTTTAACCCATCTCCCTTTGATTGATTGTGGTGTTTAAAACCACAGAACAGAAATGCCAGAACAACACCAGCCCCTCCTGGGCTTCCCTAATTAGAAAAATTCTACCCCTCCTATCCTCTCTTGGCTTTCCTTAGGATATGGGAGAAATCTGTCCTGTGCTCTTCCCTTTCTGTTCTCCAAGAAGGGCTTGAAGTTTGAGTAATTCACACACCCAAAGGATATAGTTTAGGTAAAGTAAAATTCAATTAGAATAAGACTGATTGCTGCAGTCAAGAGTTAATAAATCTTTAGAATGATTATTTTCTGATGAGAGCTGATGAGAGCCTCACAGTCCCCCACCCACCCCACCTTCCTACAATACTGACTGCTGACACCTCCCACCATTGATGCTACTCAGCTGTGACCCTCTTCCCATCGGTGTGGAACAAAGGGCCGGGTAATTGCTTTATATCCATAGGCAGTCTGAACTTCCCACGTGCATGCCCAAGGACAGTGGAGAGAGTGGCTGTGTTAGGCAGCTGAGCTCGCTATGTTCCACTCTTCCTAGAACCAATGAGTGGTCCAGAATGGGAGGCAGTACAGACTTGGGGGAAACGTTGGTGATGGTGGTGCCCGTAGCACCCAGGTGAGCCTTTTACTGTCTCCCACCACCTGGTAGTCTAAGGTATTAGTATTAGTAGTTGGTATTTGGAGAGGTCCTCTTAGAGGACGGTGTCAGTGTTCCCAGTTTTTCCTGGAAGATTTTTCTGGCTGTGTCCTGCCTCAGTCACATCAGTTATTCTCCAAGACCACGTTCCCCTGTTATCCTAAGCATGCTCTCTCCTCCAAACACAAGCACAGGGCTCCTTCTCATTTACAGCAGATAGTATTTGTTGTGTATCTGTCACACCAGCATTCCTCCCAGACTGTGGCCCCAATGTCTGGAATTTAGAATTCACAGTTTTGTTAAATGAGTAAGTCAGGGAGGGAGGAACAGAATCTCCCAAAGGAAAACAATGAATATCATTGCAGTGGCTCACAAACAGATTCCATTTGCTGTAAATCACAGATGTGATATATTGGTCTTTCTATGCCAGGTTTCCAGGGATCGTCTTTGCAGAGCCCAGTTTTCCTTATCCATTTCTCTGCCCTTGTGACCCAGCCAGGTGAACCCGATGTGGTCAGGGTCACCGGGGTACTTGTTAGTTGCAGCTGTCGTGTTTAGGTGATGGCTCTCTGTTGTGGAGGAAGAGGAGGAAAAGTGACCACAGAAATGAAGATGTGATGTTAACTGTGATAAACACTAGGGTTTTTGGAAAGCTTGCTATAGGGTAAATGACCTAATTTTTGATCAGGAATGGCTTTCCTGAGGAAGTAACATTTGAACTGAGAGTTGGAGGATGAATAGGAAATCATCCCAAGAAGAATGGTGAGGGTTCCAAACAGAGGAAATGGAAGAGTGTGGCTTGTTAGAGGCCCGGAAAGGACGAGGAAGGTCACAGTGGCTAGAGAGTGGGCAGAGCGAGTGAGGCAGGAGAGGCAGCAGGAGCCAGATCACACTGTGCCTTCTCAGCCACCTTCGAGAGCCCATCAGGTAGGAAGCCAGAAGCATTTGAGCAGAGAGTGGTGTGATCAGATTGGCAGTTTAAATGCACCACTCTGACTGCTGTGGGGAATGGATAGAGGGGCAAGAGGAGCAGAAGCAAGAGAGGTGGGAGACTCTTGCAGGAGTCCACATGAGAGATTCCTGGTGGTGTTCTCACTGCCATGGGAAGTGTCAGGGGAGACCCTGGTTTGGGAGGGAGGGGAGAAATCATAAATTCATTTTTGTATGTGCTGAGTTTGAAGTGCCTTTGAGACATTCAAGTAAACATGGAGAACACAGAATAACGAATGTGGGTCTGGAGGTCAGAGCAGAGGTCTGAGCTGCAGGTCAACATTTTGGATTAATTAGCCCGTCATTGGTAATAAAACCATAGAACTGGGTAAATTTTCCTGGACAGAGACTCGAGATCCAGAAACCATGAGAGCCTAAATTCTGACATTTTGAGACCAAGAGAAGGAACATCCACTGGCAAACAGGAGTGAGAGGGAGTGACCAGAAAAGCTGAGGGACAACTACGATGGTGAGAAGTCACAGAATCCAAGGAGAGAGTTTCAAGGTCAGTGGTGTTCCAAGTTTCGGAGAGGACAAGAAAGATGGGGATCTAAAACCACCCCATGGATTAGGCAACAGAAACATCATGGGTGACCTTTCTGAGTGCTGTTTCTGTGGAGTGAGGGGCAGAGTCCATACTAGAGAAAACAGAAAATGCAGTTAGAGCGTTTAGAGACCTCCTGTAAGGAAGGGCCATGTTTCCAGTCACCTCCCTTCTCAATTGCAGTATATCCCGTATACGATAACAATGGCCAAATCGTGAAGAGCTGACATTTATTGAACACTCATTATGTACAGGGGCACAATTCTAAGTTCTTTGCACGCGTTAACCCATATAACCTTCGCAGCTGCCTCAGGAGGTAGGCTCTGTTAATATCCCCATTTTACAGATGAGAACCCCGAAAAGCGAGGAGAACTTAAACACAACTTGCTGGAGGTTACACAGCTAGCAAGTGATAGAGCTGGGATTTTAACAAAGACGTCTCGCACCAGCAACCTCTCTCTCAACTACTGAGCTGTCTTACTAAATGGAGAAGTCCCCCCGGCTCCTTAATGAAACCGCTCAGGCATTTTGCTGTGAACGGGAGGTTTCCCGTTTCCACACATTAATGATCTGGAAGTGCCAGATCGTGCATTTATGCACTTAAACTTACAGAGGTTTTATGGCCAGTGTTACCAACCTCATCTTTAACTTCTTCCTCCTGTTTTTGCTGAGGTGACTGTTTTCCAGTCATTTGGATATTGCATTGTGTTCTAAAGCATAATTATTTTTTATTCTTACTCAGAGAGTTTTAATCCTGGGATCTAATAAATCTCTGTGTTATTGCAAAATTCTCTTAACCGAGGGAGAAATTACAAGCGAGTTCTGTGAAGATGGGTGATAAGGGCTGGAAGCCCTCATGGCCGACATATGTTTGTAACACACAGTTTTCTAAGTTACACCGTATCTCATCCTTAAAGGTTCCAGTGCTATAATACTTAGGTGCTTTTCCTAACATTATCCATTAATGTAGAAAGGCATTAACATTTGTTCAGCAAATAAAATTCGTTTACAACTTAATGAGTGCAGGGCTAGAATCAAGGATGCGTAAGCTTTATGCAAGAGGGATTTAGAAGGCATTTGTTGAGGGCACTACGCGTAACACAGAGCGCCTTTGTAGTAAGAGACCAGCATTTGAGATTCTGGTTTGGATTTAAGGAATGAATTTAGAGACAATTTCAGTGCAACATCTGAATGGATTACCTTCTTGGCTTTCATCGTTAGTCACTAATTTAATTCCAGTGTGCTATGAAATATTTATAGAGAATATTTACATAGAATTGTGTTTCTGTTTATATGAAGGGAGTAAGTGGTACTTGTTTAAATTTCGGAGACCCAAACCAGTTTCCTGACATTGTAAATGAACAGACTTCAGGCAAAAAAAAAAGTAAACTTTTTTCCCTGGTTTTCCAGCAGCTAAGGAGTGTCATGGGTAAGATGATTTCCAGTTGTGGTCCTGGGAGGTTTGTGAGTTGAGAGCACTGGCATGCGGAATGCTCATCATGACGATGCCTCACAAGGCAGACCCCGGATGGTGGGACAAGAGCAGCTTTGTGTTCTAAAGTCTGCATGCTCCTCAACCCAAATGAAAACATATTAGCTACTCTGCGTCTACTGGAAAAGAGAGAACAAA